GCACTTGTCTGGGATGGGTTAGATGGGTGATCCTGCCTTGAGCAGGGGGCTGGACTAGAGGTGACCTCCTGAGGTCCATTCCAGCTTTTCTTTCTATAAATCTATAGAATACCAAGGCAGTGGGTTCCCGTGTCCATGGGCTGGGCATGTGGACAGCAAAGCCTCTGCAAGCACCAGTTTCCTGTGGGGCCCCTTACTTCTGCAGATCCCTCACTGAGGGCATGTTCACCTGGCACCTCTGGCATGGCACGAGGGGAGCCCTAGTGGAGTTGGTATTAATCTGTGCCCAGGATCTAGATGGGGCTTCAGTTTCCCAGCAGTGCTCTCTCCTGGAGGCATCAGGGAAGTTCATGCTGTATCCATTTTTTACCCCCATCTTGTTTTCTCCCCACTCTGACACCCTTGATGGAGTTGCAGGGAGCATTTGGCTCTGCCCTGCCAGAGTGGGGCTCTGTTGGCACGTGTGAGTCTTGCCCTGGGTCTGGAGCACTGGACCCTACAGTTAAAATCCCAAGAGCAAAGCCAACTAGTGAACCTCATCTGTGTAAACACTTGTTGTGGCCCCACCTGCCATGCTGCCTGCAGGCCCTCCCTGCAAGTGAGGCTCGGTCTGTACTTTCTCCCACCTCTTTGTTCTAGATCCATACAGCACAACAGGGCCCTGACTGTTGGCTGTCATCTGGAATACAGAAAAGCCTAATCTTGCTCCTAGGTCCCTGGGCCAGTCCTGTGGAAGAAGCTTTCTTGCCTGTACCTGGCATCCAGAGGCCCCTCTGCTGTCAGCTGTGCTGGGCCTGTGCATGCTATTGGGGTCAGGGATTCCTATGGATTTAGTGTGATTTACCATATGCTGTTGTCAAATCCTGGCCCTCAGTGTGGGGGAAGGGCAGGCCCTTTCAGCTAGCTAAATGCTGCTTCAGCAGGGGGTGGAAGGTAATTCTTGGCCTCTGCAGCAGTTTGAGGTATTAGCTACATCTCCAAACAGCTGGGGAATGACTTGCTTCAAACCAGTTCCCTGCCCCCACCCAAACCCTCTTCCTTTAACTGCAGTTGCTCCTCAATTGAGAGCAGCTGCAGCTTGCCCCACCACAGGCCAGGAGGCCAGCAATGGGTTATTGCAAAGGGCCAGGAAGGCTTTTTCTTTGCAACAAGAGAAGAGAGGCACCAGTGGCCTCAGCCTGCTGAAAGGGAGCTGAAGAGGGGAAGCCAGTGAGGAATTCTGCCCTGCCTTCACTCCCTCCAAAGCTCAGCTGCCTGTATGGTTTCTCCACTTCTTCCCCTTTCATTCCCCCCCTTCCCTTCCCAGTCACTCAAAGGAGCATCCCGCCTAGTCCTCCCTGTCCCTCAGGGTGCGTGTGTGAGACTGCTCCCTACCATTGGAGGTCTGCAGCAGCTGCCTCTTCTCCTCTCCATTGCTAGTTCAGCCTCCCAGTTCCACCATACCGGATAGGCCTTGCTCTCTGCTGCTGCAGACTCCCAGAGCTGTAAAGATGCAGGGACCAAGGAGCATCACCCCAGTCGTTGAAGTGGAGCGCTTGGCACCTGGGCCTGGCAGCCTGGGGATTCCCGCTCTGCCTGAGATGTTTCATGTGGCCACAACAAGCAGCTAGGGGAGCGTGGTAGGGACTACGGGTTCATAAGTGCTTGTGAGCAGTAGGAGAGGCAGGTGCTTTGAATGGGCTTGTGGGCTCCATGCTGCTCATTGCCCTCCTCTTTATGAGGATGCCCCTGCCCACAGCATTCCTCTCCCTACACCCCTTCAAAGAGCACACCAGGGAGAGGCTGTTTGTTCCCCATGCCACACAGGGGAAGGACACCGGCATTATGTGAATACTGGCAGCTCTATAGCCCGTTCTGAGCTAGACATGGAGTGCTGCCCCCTGCCCCCGTGCCAGCTCAGGTGCTCCATGAGGCTGGCCGGCCTGCCAGCCCTATCTGGGTGCTGTCAACTTTCCACTGGGTTTCAGGATAACAGCTGGCCTGTCTGGGGGAGGTCTAGTCCTGAGCTCTGCTGTGCCAAGGAGGCAGAGGGAGGGTGGCTGGGTGTGGGGGTAGGGAAGACACTGCCTCAGCACAGACAGCCCATGGCACGGGGCCTGTCAGAATATCTCAAGGGTTGGCGCTTATCGGGACATGAATTCAAATGGGCCGGCCTGGCATGACGGCAGCTGCCCTTTCCAGCATGCACGGAAAATGCATTTAACCCAATTAGCAGCAGTGCCACTCCACGTCTACCTTCTGGGCGGCAGCTGCCTGCTAGTGATTCAGCCCTCGCCAGTGTCTGCTGTGATCCTGTCACTGTTTGCAAGCTACATGGGGCCTGCCCTGTCTGTGCTGTGTTGGGGGAGTGCCCACGAGAAGCCAGAGTGGGGGCTGCCTTGGACTGAGGTTAGGACAGGGAGCCCCCTCATCTCATGGAGGTTAATGTTGCCAGTCTCAGTCAAAGATCTCTGAGCTGTGTGTGTAGGAAAGGGAAGCCTAGGGAGGCTAAGCCACTGGAGTTACCCAGCCTGCCTGATGCCAGATGTCCATCTGGGGTGGTAGGACAGCCAGAGCCGTGTGCAGCGACTCTGTAGCTGGCTGGTGGTTCTTAGTGCTGTACATTTGGAGGGGGGTGGCCAGGAGGGGCAGGGCATCATCTCTGGGTTGTGCTGTGAAAAGGCAGGTCTTGCCCTGGCTGTTGAGTATCACTCGTGCCTTCAAGAGATGGCTGTGGGGCTGGTTCTGCCCTCTGCATCTGAAGTTTGTGCGCTCTGAAGGTCCAACGTCTCTGACTGTAGCACCCACCACAGTGTGCCTCAAGGGAGCACAGGGTCCCACTTGCGCCCCTCTGCTGGCTTCCTATTTTGACACCACATTACATTTTTCGTGGGCTTGCAATTCAGGGCCCTTCTTCGCTCTACTGCCCCCCAACTCCACACTCTGGCCAAACTTGGGTCATCTGTGACCAAATTCAGATCTGAAAACCTTATCCAAGACTGTCCAAGCTGTATTTGAGAGCCGGGGTCACTGCTCCCCTTAGTTTTAGTGGAACTTTAAAGCAGCGGTGCAGATTTTTGTTTCCTGCCTCTGTTAGGAGAGCTCACTGCATTACAGAAGCTGTCCATTGTGGTTCCTGTTAAGAGTTCAGCTTCTTGCTATGGGCTGGAGCAGGAGCCCTGGGCTCAGGCCTAGTGGGTCTGACACTGACTTGGTCTGCGGCCCACAGCTAGATGCGGTGCTTCCTGTGCCTAAGTTTCTTTCCCTCTACAAGGGGAGTTAAAATCTTTTTGCCCTCCTGTACTGCCTTCCAGCCAAGGATCCTGCAGCCTTTCACCTGCATTACCTGTGTGACAGGTGAACCTTGCACACCCCACTGCAGAGAGGAGGAGACTGGCACAGATGCAAAGCTCGGGCATTTGGCCCAGATCAACACAGGGAACAGAACTAGAGTTTCCTAGCTGTCAGCCCCATGCTGTAACCACTACACGATGCTTCCTGCTCTGTGCACAGTGAGAAGGAAATGAGCTTTTGAGGAGCTAGATACTGGGTCACGAAAAGGCCATGAGCACTCTGCGATCCCATGGCTGCCGCCAGAAGGCTGCCTGGCAAAGGAGCTAGGCTGGCTCTGGCCCCTCCTTGCCTTGCTGCTGTGCAGCTCTTGAATTAAAATGCGCAGACCTGCTGTGTTTACTGCAGCTCCTTCCTGAGGGAAGGAGGGGGCAAAGCAGGCTGTGACCCCAACATGAAGCTGGTCTTTCCCTCCAGCCTGCTCCGAGGACTGCTCTGATCTGCAGGTGCTTCGTGCGTTGTCCTTCCCTTCCAGCCGCTCCTGGATGAGGCTGAATCATCAGCCTGAAGCCAGTCACGAGCTGCTGTCTTTCTGGCTGATGGAGGGCCACAGGCCTGGCTTGCCTTGGTTCTTTCTGCAGACAAAACACAGGCACCTGCATCCATATCCCACCTGTGGGCTTGCACGGGTGTGTTCATAGCCATGCACAACTGGCTTCTGTGGACACCTGAGCATGACTGTCCATGTTCGGACCCCCCAGCTCAGCTCATACAGGCCAGCTGGGAGTGCTGGCCAGCCGTTGCTGACCTGGGCTGGATTTGACCTGCATCCCAGGACTAAGTGTTTCACACCCCAGGCCCAGCCCAGAGCCACTGGATTTGTTGCTGCCCTGGATGTTTAAGGCCACACACATAAGCAAGGGCTCTGCACAATCTCTGCTAATGTCTAACTTCCACTCCTGTGTGCTGATGAGATTAGCTGCTGCTGGTCAGGGCTTATTGATCCACCTGCTGTACACAGGAGCACAGGTGCCAACATAAAGGTTGACAGGCTGCCCTGTGACTCCCTGCATCAGCCCTACTTGCTAACTGCAACCTGCAAGCCTGCCTCTCCTCATCTAGCACCTGAGAAAAGGGGTGCTTCCTCCTCCCTCCCATGCCCTGCAGTTCCCCAGCTAGTTTAGTTCTTGAGCAGGTTCTTCCTGTGGAGCAGAGCGAGAGGATGAAGGACCCCAAATTCATCCTGCTTGACATTTGTGCTGTAGTCTGAAGTCTGGTTTGCGAGACAGCTGAGAGGTTGGTTCTGGGTAGGGTGACGATGTCCTGGTTTGGCTGGGACAGTCCCAGGTTTTGTAGGCTCTCGGCATCCCAGCCGCTAGAGAAAATGTAAGCAAAAGTCCTGCATTGATAGGAACCTGGGAGCTGCGGGGTCAGGGTATGTGCGTGCTTATGTACACACCGTGCTGTCCTACCCAGCCCTGCTCCTGGGAGCTGCGGGCCGAGGTGTGTGCATGTGTATGTGCATGCCTTTTGTTGCCCCTCACCCCTATCCCGGATTTCCCTAAAATAATGATGTTCCCCCTAGTTATGAGGAAACGAGGAGCAGATTTTAGCTTTCTGGAAACTACGCCTTAGATGGGTTTTTACAGACCTGGTAGGGTGAGGGCAGACGGTCTGCCTTGTGGCACCTCCCTGAGCTTCATGATGTCTGTTTTGTCTCTTCTTCCTAGTGGGTGCTGGCGTTTGAGATCTTTATACCCTTGGTGCTTTTCTTCATCCTCCTGGGGCTGCGGCAGAAGAAGCCCACCATCCCTGTGAAGGAAGGTGAGTGGGGGCAAGAGTCTGTGGGGAAGGAGCTGGGATGCTCTGGTTGGGGAAACCTCAGCTTTGTGGGGGATAACTGAGGGAAGAACCCAGGTGGCAAAAACCCACTCATTGCCTCCATCATGCCTAGCTGAGCCTCCAAAGAGCCCTCAACTGGCCCAAGGCTCCCACATTGTGGGACCTGCTGGGCTCCTGACCAAGGCCAAGGCGTGAGGCCTTGTGACCTCCTGGGCTAAGACACGTTCAGTAGACACTTGTCTGCCCAGTCTCCTCAGCAAGGCTATGGGGCAGCTCTCCGATAACGTTGGGGGTGTCTGGACAGCAGGAAACGAGCAGTCTGTCTCCTCTTCCTATGTTGCCTTTCTGGAGTCGCTTCTTGCTGTGGTCCGGCCTGGGCCACAGTTGCTCATCAGGGCAGCCTTTGAGGACTGCCGCTGAGGGGAGTCTGACACCTCTTATGCCCCTAATTGGCACCATTAGACCTGACAGCTGATAGGCCCCTAGTATCCAGAGGTACAGTTCTCCCACAGTTCCCTGGGAAAAAGAATGGCTCAGCTGACTGTGTGGATGTTTCCCCTCCAGTCCTAGTGACGTGCACTGTGGGGAAGGGGTAGCCCTGTTGTGCAGCAATCTTGTGGGCCCACTGGTCTGGCTGAGTGGCAAGGCTGCTGACATCTGAGCCAGTGCCAGTCTCCTGCGTTAACTTGGAAGTGAAGCTATTCGTTGGTTCAATCCAGCCTGACTTTCAGTCACTTTCCAATGATGGCCAAGCCGACCACTCCAAGACCTTGGGGTGGGCACTTTCAAGGATTCTTCCACTGCCCATGTGGGTAAGAGCTGCCACAGCCCCATTGGAAAGACAGCTCTAACCAAGTCCCAGGTACGTGGGAATCAGCCTCTGGCTGGTAGGAAAGCAGCACTGCAAGGCAAGGCACCTTGGAAGCTACCCACAGGCTTGGGCCATCTCATTGGGGCCCTGGTGTATGGGGGCAGGCATTGCAGGGTCGGACATTGTCTTAGCAGCATGGAGTGGAAAAGCAAATAGGAATAGTCACTGCTGAATGCAGGGCCAGGCAAAGATTTCCAGGATGGCAGAAAAGGGTGGGACAGGTAGCCCACACACCCTTTCCTGTCCCCTGCATGCAGCCACCCTCTCCAGATCCATTCTCTCTGCATCCCCTGCTGACACCTGGGTTACTTAGGGAAACCAAGTGGGGGCTTTGGATAGCATTTTGTTTTGGGGAAGGGCAGGGAGAAGCACGAAGAGTGAGTGCAGGAGTAGAGGGGAAGCACCTAAGCATGTGTGAATGTGCTGCCCTGGGAGCAAAAATGCTGTGGTGCTGGGTAACGGTGATCTGAGCCTGTGTTTCAGCTGTTCCTCGCATTGGGCTCTGGTGCTGCACGTGGAGGGGTTGTTGGCACCGACGATGAGGAGCGCCCTGATGCCATGCTGTCACCATGATTCTTCGAGCTGTGACTGTTCCCATTCTGGTCTCCCCATCTGACATGCACTCTTTTTTTTGTTCTGTTTTGTTTTTGTTGTTGTTTTTCTTACACGCGCTCTCTTTCTTTTCCCCACCATCACCCCCTGTCTTCCATGCTGCTACTGCATGCTCCAGTCTGTAAGTTGTTGATCTGGGTTGGCGCTTCCCCCTCCCCCATCCCCAATCCTTCCAGCAAAGTATTCTGGGAAACAGCAGCCGTTGGCCCAGCTTTCTTGACTGCTTTGACTAACACATTGATTTCGTCCCCTGCATTTGTCTCCTTGCCCAAGGGGGGTGGGTGGGACTGGTGATGATGAACATGTACAAGTGTACCACGGCCACGCAAATGCAGGAAGACCCTATGTATGTGGTCTGCAGCCTATACGATGCCATTGCTACCATCGGATGCTCACAACTTTCCCAGAATCCTCCAGTGCTGGCCTGATGGAGCTCATGGCTACAATGCTCTTTGGCTATCTCCTCATCCTCTTTCTTTTTCTTTCTCTTTGACCCCTGTTATGTGGCCAGGCTTTGTCTGAAGTTTAACACTTGCTGAACCTGGCTGTGGCTGACTGGAGTTATGGCCAGGTTTGGTTTGGGCTGTGCTAGCATTAAAAGAGGAGGAGCTCCTGCCATTCCAGCCACAGAGGACAGGGAGCTATCGTGGACCACTGCACATGCAAGTCAAGGAGCAGCTATGCCCTGTCCCAGCCTGCTCCCCCTTCCATTAACCCTTGAGGCACTCTTCTACCCAGGATCAGAATCAGCACTTAAGCACCACCCACTCTCTGCCACGCTTTTTTGTGTGTGCGTCATGGGGCATATTGGCCAGAGCCCATCCCATGGGTTTGTCTGTGCCATGATGACAGCCACTAGGGTGACCCACAAAGAGCATAACTGTTCCCCACATATATGCAGCCCAACTTGCACTTGCAGTCTTCACAACTGAAGCACATGCTGATAATGTCCAGAACCTTGCTCTATGCAGGGCTTTGAGATGCTGGTAGATGCTACCTCCATGACCAGATTGGACCATGCTGAAACAATGTGGCTGTAGCATGTGGATGGGCCCTGGTATAGATGGTCTATGAGATGTATCCCAGAGAAGGAGAGCTGAGATGTGCAACCTTTGTCTTTTCATATGAATCTCTGGTTTATAGCATGAGTTGTCCCAGAGACCATCCCAACCCAATGGTCCCATAAGGGTTTACCAAGCATGGCTGTTCTGGATGTGAAGCCACAGGGTGCACACCCACTTGTATGTCTTGCCTGTTATTTTCTGTGTGGTGCAAAGCCCCTTCCTGTCAGACCCTTCTGGCTTGTCTTAGATGCCATATCACTATATTGGCATTTCCCAGGTATGCTGGTGCTGCTACAGGCTGTTAACCTGCCTAATTTGCTCCTTCCCACCAGAATCTCACTGAATCTACATCCCGCATTGGATAGCCTGGTTGAGGTTTGGCCCCAAAAGATGTGGGCCTCCATGAGCATCTTCACCAGTCCCTGCCTCTTTGCATTTCCATTAGGAACACAACCCTTTCTTCAGCCTTAGTTCCACTGTGGGTGGTGTCAAGGCCTGGGATTTGGGGAAGGTGGATTATCCAGCCTGCCCCAGTTCCCATGAACCAGAGTTACTGTTGTTGGCCTGATTCTAGCTCTAGCCTGTCATGAGTGAAGAAAAACAGTGATGACCCTATTTAAGGGAGCCTGGAAGGCCGACTGATGGGGGGGGCTCTTCCCTTAGAAAGATCCTGCACCTAGTGGGAATAAGGAATTTAGCATTAAAACGAAAGCCTGGCCTAACAGCGTCCTGGTGAATGCTCTAACAACTCTTCCACCACTCTTCTGCCTGCCTAATAGAAGGTGAATGATTTTCAATGCTAATGCTTGCCAGGAGACTAAGCAAGCCAAGGGCTTCTGCACTCAGCCCTGACCCTGGCCCTGCTGTCTACAGCAGTGCAGTGATGGGGTCATGCTAACACCTCTGATTCACTGGGCCTATTTAGTCCATCAAAACTGGCACACTAGGCCATGGTGGAAAGAAGCGCCAGCCAAGCCTAGCTGTGTCCCTGGGGGGCACTCAGTGTGCGTTATCAATGATCGTGGTGGGAAGCTGCTGCTTGCTAATGGCCTATGTTTAATCAGTGCCCTCCCCCACCTGGGGCCCATTAGCACACACTCGGCAGCGCATTTGTTCCGCTTCTTAAATTTGAAATATTGGGATTGTGCCGGGAACGGCAGTTGCATGACGACACTGGGGCCTGGAGAGTGAGGCGGATGGGGATGCTCCGTCAGCACAGCCTGGCTGGATGGGGTGGCTCTGGAGACCTTGTGGGCATGGGGCAGAGGACTGTATCTTTACCATACCTGCCTGATCGGTGGAGCTAGGGGGAAGGCTGCCTGTGAGAATATTCATCTAGGATATAGGTGCCTTGATTGATATTCTCGGCTCTCCTCTCTCTTCTCCAGGTCTCCCTCCCAGTTGCTTTTTTTTCCCCGACCTGCCTCAGTTTCTGCTTCTTATGAAAAGGTGAAGAAATGAAGCTTCTTCTGCTTCTTTCATCTCCACCAGCTGCAGACTGAGGCCCGTGGTGGGGGGATGTGAGGTGGCCCATTTGACAGGGTTTGGGGAGCTTTTAGTGCTGTCGGTTACTAGCCTGTTCCTTAACCCAGTGTCCCTGTTCCTCCTCCTCTTCCTCCTCTCTGCAAATCAAACTGTGTCTGAGATTCACTAATGGGCTGATCAGAGCAGCCATTGGGTTTGCAGTTTCTCTAGGGCAAATGTCAGAAGTCATTCCACCAGCTTCCTTGTCCTCAGGGCTGGAATTGGTAGGCTTTATAAGTGCTCTGGGGAAGCAGAAGTGAATATGGGTCCCTACACATCTCTTTCTAGGAGTGTGATCACCTCTCTGGTGTGACCTGCTGTGCCACGCAGGAGAGACTGGTTCTGGTTTGGTGTGGGGAAGCAGGAAGTGCCCTGTGATGCCCAGAGGCCTGAAAAGCAATGAGGCCAGAGAGCAGCCCCATAGGACAGCTAATGGAAGACCCTGCCAAAGGAAGTGGGGCTCCATGACCTCTGACCTTTACCCTCTGACCTCCTTTGACTTGATGGAGAAAACTTATTAGCCAATAACCATACTGATCTAGCACTCATGCTTCTCTCTTGAACTCGGTGTGTGTCTCTGTCTTCTTCCTACCTTGTCTCCCTATATCTTCCCTCTCTTTCGTGCTGTGTCTCCCTCTCCAGCTTTCTACACAGCAGCCCCTCTCACCTCTGCTGGGATCCTGCCCGTGATGCAGTCCTTGTGTCCTGATGGGCAGAGAGATGAGTTCGGATTCCTCCAGTACTCCAACTCCACGTGAGTCCGCCCCTTCTCTGCTTGTATTTTTTCCTTGGCCATGACTACCTGTCATGCATGCATGCGCTGTCTAGCTATGGATTTAAACAGAAACCCTTTTAAGACTTTGCTGTAGCAGGCAAAGGAGATTCAGCGTCATGGCTAAAGCATAGGACCCCAATAAAACTTCTGTTGTCTGCTCTGCTGCTCACTTCCTTTCCCCAGACCTCCGATGCAGCGAGACTGCTGGCTCCCCCCTGATCCCCACCCCCATTTTGCAGAAGAGCTGTGAGGATTATTTGCTCACAAGTCACTTTGAATCTTGCCTGATGGAGATCCCTGCATGAATACCATGTATTATCAGGACCAAAAGCATTATTAAACTTTGTTCTTTGCCCTCTCCTGGCATTGGCTGGTGGCATGCCTTCTCCTCTGAGGAGGTGAAAATATGCATCACTTCTGTTTGCTGAATGTCAGGTTCAAGTTGGTTTTGTTTTCTGTTTCACATTCACCATGACGGTGCCATGACCTGTGGTCCCAGCTGCTGCCTCAGTACCTTGGCCTCCAGCCTTAATGGCTCCTCTGCTTTCCCACCTGGTTTGGCTTTGCTTTCTGAACTTCTTTCCATTCTCAATCACTGGGGCTTTGGTTTGCCTCTAGACTATAGTGAGAAGGGATCATCTCACCAAGTTTCTCGTTTGTGCCGGTCTCAAGCTGTGCATCACAGTGGGGGAAGAGCAGGTTGTTTGTGGATGCGGCCTTCTGAGCATGAAATCTTGTCCACTGATGCTGATCTCATTGAACATTACAAATGGTCTTCCATTTGTTCCTTGCCGCATTTATTTATTCTCTTCTCCTGTTAATACGCTTCCTTGCCCCACCCCCCTGCCAATCATTGGGCTATGATCCCCATTCAACCCGTTCATCAGTATACCCCGCTGGCCTTCCCCTTCCCCTGTATCCTGCAGGGGCTGCAGAGCATTGCTGCTCTGCTGGGGCTTCGGGGAGGCCTGGGAGAGCTATACAAGGAGAGGGGCTGGCAGGCCAGTGCCCAGAGAGGGGACCCGGACAGCTGTCTGGCTTCGGGAGTCCCACTTGTCACTGCTGACTCAGGCCTGCTTGGCTGAATGCAGATGAGGTTGCAAGCTGTTGCTGAATGAGTCATAGCATTTGCCTCGGGCCAGCTCCAGCAGAGTGTAGAGGGCAGTCAGGAAGGGCTGAGCTGTACAACCAGGGGTGTGCAGCGAGCCAAGGACATCTGTCTGCCTCCTGGGGTAGTGGAAACCTGCACCTGGTGGGGTGGGGGGACCCTGCTTCTCTCCTGTGGCTGACCTCCCCTCCTTGAATCTGAGAGAGCAGGGAATCCCATCCAGCAACATGCACATGCTCCATTGCTCACCTTTTGTGGGGAGGGAGGAAGAAAACTCGCTTACTGACACGTGCTCCAGTGCCAGCCCTCTCACCTGGCTGCGTGTTTGCCTTCCTCCCTGGCACTTGTCAGCCTGCCCGCTTGCCAGCAGTGGTGCTGTGCCCCATGCTTCCTCACACCAGCCTCCCTACTTGCCCTCAGGGTGACCCAGCTCCTGGAGAGGCTCAATGAGGTGGTGGAGGAGAGCAACCTGTTTGACCCAGACCACCCAGGGCTGGAGGAGGAGCTGGAGTCCTTGCACCGTCGCCTAGAGTCTCTCAGCAGCAGTGAGCCCAGTTCCATGGAGACCCACTTCAGCAGTCAGGCAGGTAGGTGCAGGCTGCAGGTCCAGTCCCCCCATCTCTCCTGATGAAGCTGCCTTTGGCAAGCCAGGGACTTGGCTCCAGCAGTGGATGGGGAATACCTGGGAATAACCATATTGCTGATAGCAAAGTCCTCAGGGCAAGAGGCCTGGTCCTCTGAGTCCAGATCTGTGTCCACGTGTCTCTGAGCCTCCCTGCAGACCTGAGCATCAGAGCCAGGGCTGAAGCTTGAGGCCATGTTTGACTATCAACCAGAGATTGGTTGAGAGTGGAAGGAGCACTTGCACTCTGGGCATGTTTCAAGGGGTACTTGCACTCTGGGCATCCAGAGAATGTAACAGAGTGGAATATGTTCACACGCACACCCCAAGTAAGGCAGTCAGGTGTATACGGGGCCATAATCATCCACAGATTTCAACCTGTGGAACCTACCAGTCCAGAGGAGAACTGGGCCCCATGATATCTGCCACTGAGGTTTGTTATGGAAGCAGCACCCTCCCTCCACCCCCAGCCCCAAATTACTTGGTGATGGGAGGAGAGAGGGCAGATTCAGTATCTTTTGGATGATGATGAATTGGGCATGGTAGCCCCAGCATTCCTGGGCATGGCTCTCCTTCCAGTTCAGTGGTGCTGTGTCTCCTCCCCAAGTCTGAGCAGCACCCTGTTGCAGCCACTGTCCGTCCCAGCTCCCTTGCCATGTGCTCCATAGAAGCCATGAGTCTCTAACCTGTTCCTCTCATTTCCCATCAGCATCTGGCTTCACCTTGGGCTCTGCAGCAAAGGACAGGAATGAACTTCACCACTTCCTCACCCAGAATCTCTCCCTGCCCAATGAGACGGCCGAGCTGCTGATGGGCTCCAACATCAACCTCAAAGAGGTACGTGCCCATTTAGGGAACCCATCTCTGAAGAGTACTGCTGCAGTGCTAGAGCATGTGGAAGCCCTTGAGGCCTAGTCCTCCAGAGTGCTGGTCAGAGAGAGCTCCCTGAGTCTGTAGATGCTCAAACCACTCCCAACTGATCCCTTTATCTGGCTAAGGCAGTGGCTGGCAGTGTCTTGTGGCATAGGTCAGAATGGCCCAGCTGTGGTCCTAGGCAGGTCATTGCTAAGGCCTGTTTGCTGTCACTGCTGCTGTCTCCTGCTGCCTCTTTCCACCACCCAGATGTAGCATGGCCCAGGAAAGTTCCCATCCTCAGCGTGATGCAAGCAAAGCCCCAATTGCCAAATACCACTGCGGTCCCCCACCACCGAAACTCCAGTACTGCAGGCTGCGTCTAGTGGTTCTGTGGGCTATAGGCTGTTGACCCCTATGCTAAGCTGGTGTGAGGCAGTAGTGTGATACCTGTCCATAGATGTGTGAGGGTTGTGGGCACTGGAATGAGCAGGAGTTAGTGCATTTCTTGATATTTGGTCAGAGTCTGTAACAAGGCTTTTCCTTCCCCATGGTGCTTGCAAGAGGAAACAGGGGTCAGGGAACCCCTCTTACACCTGGGAGAAATCAGGCACAGGGTAGGCACAGCACTTATTTACCCAGCTAGCAACAGCTGGATCTCTTGGTTCCTGCCCTATACTGTACATTGGTCCACACTGCCACCATGGAGCTGGGATGAATAGGGTAGATGGAAAGATGTCTGCTAATGAGGAATTGCAGGTGATTTGGATTGCCTTCTGGAGGCAAGGTAGAAACCCCACTTCGGACAGTTGGGCTTTGGCTGGGGAGCCAGCTACAGGGTCTGTGGCCGTGGCTTCATGTGGCACCAGCTAGATCTTATATCTTTGTGTCCTCCACCCAGCAGCCATTTGATACAATGGCACCTTTCCCTTGTCATGTCTTGGGCAGCATGTGGCTTAATGGCGCCCATCAGCTGAAATGGATGTACCCTCCTGGGGTGATTGTGGGCAGTGAGTGGAAGTGGCCGGGTGACCTGCATCATGTGGCTACAGTGCTCTGGCTTGCTGTTGCTGGTCTGCCACCCCCCACTAGACTGAACAACTGGTCATGGACTGATGGTGCAGGAGGGATGGTTCTGCAGCTGCTTCTCCTAGAGCAGCTGAAGTCCTGAGTAGAGGGAAGGGTTCCCACCAGTCTGGTCTGTGTAGCATAGGCCAGAGGACCTCACTTGATGTGATAGATGCTTCTGGCTGGGCCAGGACCTGTCCTTAAGGACAATGTGATGGAGAGCCCACCACTTCCCTGTAGTTCCATGGCTGATTACCCTCCCAGGGTTAAAATTTCATGCCTTCTTTCAGTCTAGATTTCTCTGGATTCCAGGTAATGGATTTTGTTCAGCCTTGTCTTGACTCTAGAGCCTTTGGCCTCAGAAATCTCTTCTCCTTGGAGGTCCTTGTAGACCACCATCAAGTCTCCATGCTCTCCCCTTGCAGGTGTATCGCTTGTTTTTTGGCTCTTCTCCCTCCTCGGCAGAGGATGTCCATGAGAAGGAGCCGTGGGACCGCTTCAGTGCTGGGGAGAAGATCCTCCAGCTGGAGGTGAGGAGGCCTCTTGCCTGGCTGTTTCCACCCTTCCCTGCATCTTGGGGTAGACAATGCATGAGCTCACTTTAGCTCCAAGGCCTCATTGTTGGGTAAGGCAGGGGCATGGAGCTGCCATCTCCAATCACTACATCAGAGTGGGATCCAGGTGCCAGATCCAGCACTCCAGCCTTTCTTCCTGCTTCTCCCTGAGCTCTCCTTGTACCTCACCTGTGGCTGGTTAGAGCTGGAGGCTGAAGGAGCAGAGAAAGCTGCTCTTTTTGTTTTGACTGACTAGAGCTGTGGAGGCTACATGGGGTTTGTGTCTGTCAGCTCTGTCCCACCTCATCCTTTCCAGTGCCTGGTGGGGTGCTCTTCATTCCACAGCTGACTAGCCATCTCTCTCGCTCTTTCCCCCTTTCTGTTCCAGGAGAGCCTCCTGGGTGGCTGGAGGAACCTGAAGGAGGGGCTGATTCACAGGGCCCTGAGGAACCACACGCGATCTATCCACAGGCAGGCCCTGCTGCACCTCCTGTCCCAGGCCCTGGGCCTTGTTGGTTCCCCCTCTGAGGCCTCTGACTCTTACAGCCCCCAGGCCTTTGTGAAGGAGATGGAGGTGAGGGGTGTTCATGGGGAGGGGCATAAGGGAGGTAGTGTGGGGCCCAGCTCTGATGTAATAGGGTTAGGAAGCACACAGCCCCACGTTGAAGGGGAGGCACCCCCCAGTCCATTAATGGGTTTTTGGCCAGGACTGCTACCCTCAGCTGTGTCTTAGCCTCCTCTTTGGACTGGGTTCTGGTGGCTCTCTGGATTCCCCATCTTGGCTCATGGCCAAGTGCAGAGAGTAATTTGGTGACAATGCTAGGAATGGATCCTTTCTAGTGCCCTGCCCTGTTTTCAGCCTGGTTTTTAGAAGCCATGCTGGTGTCCTACCCTGACCCAGGCCCTGGCACAGCCGGGGTTAATGATGCCTGCCTCCTGGGCAGGGGAAGATGATGTGCCTCCCCTCTCCCACAGAACATCCTTTTCACGCCGTCAGTGCTGGAGCAGCTGACCTGTGATCAGAACCAGGGGGAGTTGAGGCGGATCCTGACCATCCGTGACAGCCAGCGACCCTGGCTGCGGGGCTACCGGGCCTTGGTCTGCAATGGGAGTGCTGGCATCCGCAGGGAGCGCTTCGCCCAGCTGGCCACGGAGCTCAAGGAGCAGCTGGACACGCACAAAATTGCCAGTAGGGTAAGTGCCTGTAGGGCCAGGGCTGCCATCCGGGCTCCTCCTCCCCGCTGGCTCCAGCACTGCTCCCCTGACACTCCTGGCACTGACAGGATTTGGAGGGGCAACTGAGACCCCATGACATGAGGGAGTGGCTGACCCTGGCTTGGTGAGGGAGAGTTGCAGGGAAACCAGGCATCTCCACACAGGTTACTGGCCTGCTCTGGGGAGCAGGAGAGGGGCAGTGGGCGAACTGGAGGCAGTGGAAGAAGGGGGTACAAAGTTGTGCTGAGTTTTGATGGCCTGGGGGTAGTTTTTGCATGGACTGTAGAGTGAGGATGGGGCAGGTACTCAACCGTCTGCAGGCCCATCATATACACCTCTGAATTTCAAGTCTGTGGGCAGTGATAGCTATTAGGTCCACATCTCTGCCCTGGGGAGCCCTGCAAGCCTCTAACCCCTCTCCCAACCTTGGTTTTGCAGCTGAAGCTGGACGAGGTGAACAGCACGGCTGCCCAACACCGGCTCCATGCCCTACTGGAGGACCTCATGGAGATAGAGAAGGTTCTCAAGGATGTGGACATCCTCTCGGCTCTGGCCAAGTTGCTGCCTAAGGGTGCCTGCGCCAGCAAAACTCCCCCACCTATAGTCAACAGCACCAGCTGGGGTGGGAACTCCACGGCCGGCACCAACTCCACCGTGGAGGAGGGTGAGGGCGAGCCAGTTGGGGAGAACCCCCAGGGCCAGTGCTCGGCCTTCGTGCAGCTCTGGGCAGGACTGCAGCCCATCCTGTGTGGGAACAACCGGTAAGACTTTGGCTCCTGAAAAGCACTACAGACCTGGGCAGAGTAGGCGGGGATGGGGGCAGGGGGCACTATGGGAGCTGAGGCCTGGGTTGGCAGAGGACAGGATCAGAGCAAAGTGATTTGACAGCAGTGGGTCTGGGACTGCCTGCAGCCTCCACCAGGATCCAGGCCACAGCCTGTTTGCCTGAGGAGCTGGGACCTCTGGGAATTCACAGGGTCCAGCCTGTGGAGGGGCCTTTCTGATCTCCTAGTGTCCCGTTTGGCTCTGGCTACAGTTGGTGGGGATGGCAGGGGGCCCTGTCCAATGGCAAGTCACTGTCCCCAGTAGTGGGAGGTGGGAAGTCCTGCCCATCCCCATGGTCCAGGCAGGAGAGGTCAGCTGGGGCCTTGGACTGCACTCCCCTCTCTGTAGTTTTCCCTTCAAAACAGGCTGAGGGAATCCTGCCCTGCTGCCTGCACTAATATCTGTGCTGGGAGCCACCCACCCTGCCACTCCCTCCCCAGGGCTCACAAGCTTGACTCATGCCACTCTGCATCCTCATGTGCTGCCTCAGTGGGTCCTCACACCATGCCCAGGTCCCTGCTGAGGGAGGGTTTCCATGTCACCTAGCCCTATTCTGGATGCACCAGCATTGTGAATTGGTGTGAAAGTTCCCTACTACCATGTCCTGCAAGGGATTGCCAAGCACTGGCTCCTTCCAGGCTGGGCTCTGCTCATGGTAAGCCCTGCCTGGCCCCTTCAGAGAAGAACCTGCAGTAAATGAGGAAACCTGTGCCCGGAAGGCTTGGGTGGATGGGATGTGCTGAGTTCCCACAGAGAGGAGCTGGGTCTGCACCGTGTGGCTGCTTCTTGGGCATTGGCACTGGGGTTAGAGGTGCGGGGCTGGACGGGACGGACAGAGCAAGTCTCTGACTGTATCTCCAGCAATGCAGCTTGGAGCTTACAACAGTTGTGTCCAGGAGCCCCTGTGCAGGGTGCGTTGCTGTGGGATGGCCAGCCCGTTCCGGCCTTGGTGCTGGGGCATTGTCTTTTTGTCCTTGAGTGAACAGCCCCTGCAGATCAGGACCCCATGAGCACTGGCCGTGTGTTTCAAGGCTCCCCCATAGACTGCCTAAAGCAGGACACCATGACCAAACCTTCAGCAAGTGACTGACTGTGACTTCTCCTCCAGGACAATTGAACCTGAGGCACTGAAGCAAGGCAACATGAGCTCTCTGGGCTTTACCAGCAAGGAGCAGCGCAACCTGGGGCTCCTGGTACACCTCATGACTAGCAACCCCAAGATCCTCTATGCTCCAGTTGGGACAGAGGTGGACAAGGTCATCCTGAAGGTAAGGGCCTGGCTGGCTCAGGTGGCACCCTTAGGGCAGCTTAGCTGCAGGCTACCAGCCTTGAAGCACCATGTCTCTTGGGCCCAGTAGGTCTCAGTCCTTTTAACTGGGGTGGAAAGCTTGCAGCTGTCCAGAGAAGAGCTCACAGCAGGTGACAATGTTGAAGTAGCTGTGTTTAATGGATGGTTCTTTCTCCAGTTCTTGGCTGTTCAGCTGTCCCATCAGTCCCTGGGGGCCCATTGATCTCTGCCATGTCAATAAGTAATTAAGACTCTCAGTGCAGTAAACACAAACCAGTGAGGGAAGGGGGCGGGCAGGGGAGGGATTCCCTTCCCTTCTCTTCCTGCAGCTGACAGGCTGTGATGTTGGGGCTAGAGGCAGAGTTCAGTACACCATCTACCAGCAGATGCAGGTGGCAGTGAGTGTTTCCAGCCCTGCCCCTGAGGCTGCTAGCCCAGTCTGGGGTAGGTCTGTTCCATCTCTGGACCACTGTTAATTTTCTCTGTGATTCGCCCCTCTGTACCCCAACAGTCCCAGCCCTGCTAAGGTGAGCAGGAGGGCAGGCCCACAATGCCCATCTCCCATCTCCTAGGCCTGGCTTCCCCAAGAGGTACTTTTACCAGGGCAGGGTCCTTGGCAGTCACCAACAAGGAGGATGCTAGTTTGGTGTCATTGTGTGCCCGCTCTGCGCATGTGGAAACAACCTAGCGGTGATGACCTGCCCTGATACATTTCCTTCGCTATAGTTCTCCAGCTCTGGCAGAGCAGCACCAAGACCTCATCTGTGATGGGGAAGCTGCAGTGGTTTAAATAGGCTTGAAATGGCTCTAATGGCACTGATGCAGGCTCTAAACTTAGCTATACTGAAGCCAGTTCAACCTTTGCTTGGGTTGGTCTGTTACCATTGATACTGTAGTAGCATCTGGAAGCCAGGACCAGTGTGTACCAGGTGCTGCATGTGCACAGAAGGATAATAAAGACCCTGCTCTGGAGAGCGTAGGGTGGAAAGACTAGAATGCAGCAGAAACGATGGTCCAAGGCAGTAAGGAGGCAGTAAGACTGCTGTTAGTCAGTCACAGAAGGCTGCATACCTGGCCCAGTAGACTGTGGAACAAAATCAACCTGACCTATTGTTAGACCAGTGTAAGATCTTATCCTCACCTGAAAGTGAATTTGGATCAAGATTGGGCATGAACTGAAGGTGCAGTAGTTCTACTGGAACAATCTATGTGTGAATGACAGTATCTGCCCTGGGGATTTGATCCAGCTGCACTGATCTAACTTAGTATAAACAGGTCTGATCTGTGCTGGCAGGGCTGGGAGAAGCTGCTTACCGGCTTACATCTCCTCTCAATATAACCCTTCCTGGGGCCTCTCTTGCTGCAGGCCAACGAGACCTTTGCCTTCGTTGGGAACGTCACACACTATGCGAAGGTCTGGCTAAACATCTCCTCAGAGATCCGGGGCTTCCTAGAGGAGGGAAAACTGCAGCGACGGATCCGCTGGCTACAGCAGGTATGGATCATGCTGAGCGGGGTCTGTGGATGGGCCTGGAATGAGGCAGAAACATGGGCTAGACCACAGTGTGGTAAGATCTGTGCAAGTGCCTGCAGGCGACTGGTTGCAGCCCTGGCTTCTAGCCTCCAGCTTCATCCAGGCAGTTTCTGGCATCAGTAACTGCTGCCACAACATAGCGAGTGTTTTACAAAGGGGGCTGCTCCCCCAGGGGACTCGTGTCAGAGCCATCTCTGTCCTAGATGCTGGATCCCACCCTGCAGACCTGCCCGTTGCTGCTGAGTGACAGGCAGCTTGACCAGTGTCTTGTTTTATATTGACCTCTCAGGACTGGGAGGGGGCAGGATCTTAGCTGGGTCCCATCCTGCTGTTGCTAAGGCTGACTGAATGCTTGCCCCATGACCTGCTCGGCCCAGCTTGCCTGTTGCAAAGTGGGGGCAGTGGGACCCTCAGCCACTTTGTGCCAGAAGTAGCAGGAGGAGGCAGGGTGGAGGACACCCAGCTGTCTGCGCTATCTCACTTTTTCTCCTCTCACCTCCAGTTCACTGCTGACCTGCACAAACACCCCGAGTTCCTGAATGTCTCAGACAATGACCTTCTCCGCAGCTTCATTGATGGCAACTTCTCATTGCCCAATGCTAGTGCCCTGCTGCAGCAGCTGGACACCATCGACAATGCTGCCTGTGGTTGGATGCGTTTCATGTCCAAGGTGAGGGCAACACCAGCTCCCTAGAGCTGGACTAAGCCTGCCAGGTGTCAGGCATACCCAGGAAAGCTGCTGTCTCCATAGCCAGGCTCCCGTGGGCACTTGGCAATAGCCTTAGTTATCCAAGGGCATGGGCAAACTAACATGTGCCTGGGTGTAATTCACTGGGCATGGATATATAAATGACTGGGTAACAGGCATGTGAATTACATTGGGATCAGACAGATCAGGAGCACATAGTAGATGCTGTTATTGCTTTGGCTGCTAGTAAGGTGCCATGCCAATGGGAAATGCAGGGCCGTGGCAGCAGGAAGTCTGGCTGCACATAATGGCAGTGGAGTGTGGGTCATCCCCACTAGATGGCAGGGGGAGGAAGGGTGTGCCCTGGTCCCCTTGCAGAGCAGGGATCAGTCCAAGGTGCTGTGGCTGCAGCAGGATCTCATGGGACTTCTTTTCCTGACAGGTCAGTGTGGACATCTTCAAGGGCTTCCCCGATGAGGAGAGCATAGTGAACTACACGCTGAACCAGGCATATCAGGACAACGTCACTGTCTTTGCCAGTAGGTCCCTGGCTCTGTGCTCTCCTTCCCTCTCCCTTTCTTCCTATCACCATTCACGTGGCCTTGCTCATTTCCTCTGAATTTCCTTGTCAGCTTGTGTCTCTTCACCATTTCACTGATTCTCAAGCTCCCTCCAGCCTGATCCCAGGCAGGTTTTTCCCCACACTTCCAGATGTACAGAGCTGAATTTGGGCATTTCTGGGGCCTAGAGGCAGAAAGGCCCTTTGATCTTCAGCCTCTGCCACTGACTCGCTGGGGTGAGGAATGCCTCTGTGCCTCAGTTTCCCTATTTATAGAATGGTGAGGACCTAGGTGTGACCATAGGTCTCAGTCCAGTGGCTCTTGCCAAGCTTTGAGAGCTGCTCCATATACTGTCAAGTACCCATTCCTAGTGCCTCCTGTCTTGCTGAGGAGTCTGTCTCTTGCTGCCCTGGGGGTCTGGTCCCAAATCTGTAGGTGTCAGCAGGGACTCCTGTTGATTTTAACCCTCCTTGGGTATTGCCCTGGCTGTCTTGAGCCATTCAGATAGGCAACCATGTTGCACCTTGGCCCTTGGAGGAATGCGAGCCTGCTCCCCAGTGGTCTGCTCCCATCCCCATAAACACTGACCATGGAGCTGGCTGGGATGAATTCCAGCGTCCTAAATGTCCCCACCTCTTGCTTTCCCCTCAGGCGTCATCTTCCAGACCAACAAGGATGGCAGCCTCCCACCACATGTGATGTACAAGATCCGGCAGAACTCCAGCTTCACAGAGAAGACCAACGAGATCCGCCGGGCATATTGGCGGCCCGGCCCCAACACCGGCGGGCGCTTCTACTTCCTCTATGGCTTTGTGTGGATCCAGGGTGAGTAGACAGACCTTGGTAGGGTTGCTGCTCCCTGACTGGGACAAAGGCCAGCACAGCCTGCTATGGGGGTGTGCACTGCAACATCCCCTGCATGCTGCTCTGCTGAGTGATGCTGCCCTGTTGTGTTAATGTAGCTTATCTCCTGGCCTCTTCTCTCCAGACATGATGGAGCGGGCCCTTATCAACACCTTTGTGGGCCATGACGTGGTGGAGCCTGGCAATTATGTGCAGATGTTTCCCTACCCGTGCTACACCAGGGATGAGTGAGTAATGCTGGGTGAATGGGACAGACATGATGGGCAAGGACAGGGCTGGGGTGCAGTGAGTAGAATGACTCCTTTGCTCCAAGACAGGTGGCCCCTCTGGATAGTGCTCCTAGGATCTCATGGAAACAGGCCTGGCATCTGCACTCCTTCCAGCCAAGCTGGCCCTGCTGCTTGCTCTCCTCAATATCCCATTGCTGGCTCCTTGCTCATTGCATTAATGCCGCACTATACAGCAAATGCCACCATGGCCTGGGCAAGGTGCAACATTCAGAGTATTGCAGGCTAAAGTGGGGGACTGGGAGCCAGGGCACCTGGGTTCTACTGGCTGTCTCTCAGACCTGCTGTATGACCTTAGATATGCCAGTAACTCCCTCAGCATAGGTGAACTGTAGCAGGAATTATCTGGGCTTGTAAAGGAATTATCTGGGCATGGTGGCAATGCCTGATCTCTGCCCTGACATCCCAGAGTGGTTATTGGGGCTGCAACAGAGGGATGTGGACACACTTGATGGTCCTTCCAACTCAGCCTACTCTGATTCTTTCCCTTTCCCCCCAGCGTGATGGTGCAAGGTCCCCGCTGTCTGTCGTCATGTGGCTGCCATCCTCTGTGGGTGCCAGGGTTCATGGTGTCAGGACGGGTTCTGATGCCTTGCTGCCTCTCTCCCCAGTTTCCTGTTTGTCATCGAGCACATGATGCCCTTGTGCATGGTGATCTCCTGGGTCTATTCGGTGGCTATGATGATCCAGCACATTGTGGCAGAGAAGGAGCATCGCCTGAAAGAGGTGGGGATGTGGAAGTGGGTTCTTCCTGGAGACCATGGCTGTCCACTGTGCCCACTGGGGAGGAAGGAGGGCAACTGACAGAACATTCGGTCGTACAGTGCGGGGGAAGGTGGGGCATAACCCTGAAACCCATGCAGTAAATGATGCAGTAAATGGCATGGGGTGGGCCGTTGGGTTCTCCAGCAGTGTCCTGTGAGTCCTGGCAAGCTGGTCTCTGCACCCCTGTTGCCACCTTGCAATGAAAGAAGCTATATCCCCAAAACATTTCCACATCTAGCCCATTGTTGCTGCCAGGCAGTGGTGGAATGGTCTGTTGTCCTGAGCACAGGGGTTGGTAATGGGGGCCATTTTCCCATTTACAGTGTCTGAGGGAGGGGAAGGGCTGTGGGCCCTGGACAGAACATAACAGGTAAAACCTGCAGCTGGACTCTCCTGATGTAAACCAGGTGTAATGCTGTTGAAGCTGGTGTAAAATGGATGCAAGCAAGCGTGAGTGCAGATCTATTGTCTGTGGCCTCAGAACCAGGGCATGGGGGGACACCGGTCCAGATTCTTCCCCAGTGTTAACTCCTTCAGAGCTGGTGAGAAACTACCAGGGATGGATCTGTCTCTTGCGTTGTGCCCTGTAGTCACCTGGGTTACTGCAGTGCCCAGGGGTTTGTCAAACAAGTATCCTCCCTGGTATTGCTCCAGAGCTCTGCAACTGCTCTTTGGGGTCATCTGGGCTTGACAGTGCCTGCAGGGTCAGTTTTTGCCATCTCTGGGTTGCCTTTACAATAGCAGCCCAAAACAGTACTGATGTAGCCCTGAGTCCTGATCTCTAGAGCACCTTGGCTGTCTGGGAGTGGTGGGATCTCTTCTCTCTGCTGCTCAGAGCAGCCCTGGATGACCAGGGGCATAGGTTAGATGAGCTGCTTGGGTCTGTAGTCTGGATGCCTAGGATTCCACGTCCATCCTCCCTGCCCTACTGCTGCCCCCATCGCCTGGTAGCTGTTCCCAGAGAACATTGGTGCTTCATTCTTTGGCTGGTGTTGGCTCCTCAGCCTTAAACCTGCCTGTGGGAGCTTGCAGGGAAGAGGTTCCAGTGGCTAACAAGAGCATGACGAAGCTGCTGAGGCATGGTGCCAGGAGGAGCTGGCAGTAAATCTCTGAGAGGGCAGCTCTGTCCTGTCTCTGCCAAGTGCATCAGAGGCAGGATGCTGAGGAGGGATTTCCCCCTGCTGGAACACTCCACTGAGCAAAGCGGATACATCTGGATGGCTGGGCACTTCTGTGGGAAAGGCTCTCATGCAGCTCCTGCTCCCCAGGCTTCTGTCTCCGGAGCATGAGTGCCACAGATCTGGGAGAAACCATACCCCCAATGAAACCATCTGTGCCCAGACTAGCCAGATGCACTGTGTCCTGTGACAGGGTGCTGCCAGCATGGGGCATGGCTGTTTGGCAGAGGAGACCATGCCAGGACCCCTTTAGCTACCCTCTGAAGTAGCTGCTGCTGCTTCCCTCAGCCTGGTCTGGCCTGCTCTTGCCTGCAGTGCAGTGGACTTGGCAGAGCTTCTGGCAACACATGGCAGGTACCAGGGCCAAGCCACCGGAGTACATACATCTCCATGCTTCTGGTGGTACCATATTCACACACTGTAGGATGGTCAAGCTTCCCTCAGGAGATTGTGGGAAAGCAGCAGCGTTCTCTCCCCATGGAGCATCTCTTCTGTACCCACTTCAGCTCTTGTGGGTCCATGCTGATGGTTTTCGAATGCTTGTTGTAGCTGCCATGGTTGCCTTCTCTGCTCCCAGCATGGATTCCAAAGGGCTGTCTGGTGTGATCAGATCTCTTTTTGCCAAGAAGCAGGCTGGGTGTTTTGGTGCCACCTGAAAGATAGGGCAGCAGCAGTGCTGGGTCTTCTTGGACAAGCAGCTAATGCCTTGGCATGGCTGACTGTGGAGCAAGTCTTAGTCTGAGCCTTAAGTGCTCTTTCTGTGCACAGGACACTTGTACAAACTAGGGGGAAGGAATCCAATTATTCATCCTGGGCCGACCAACGTGGGCAGCAGAACCCTACTTAGATTTGTGCAGGGTATTGGGCACAGAGCTGCCACCTTGGTCACAGGTTCCAGTCAACACAAAGCCAAGGCATCGTGGCACCCTGCGTCTGGGGAAGGAGTCCCACTAGCGGGATAGGGGTCTGTCCTATGGAAATTACCCCTGCTGCCACATGCCCTGATAATGCATGACACTGTCTTTTGCAGGTGATGAAGATGATGGGCTTAAACAATGCAGTGCACTGGGTGGCCTGGTTTATCACCGGCTTTGTCCAGCTGTCTATCTCTGTCACAGCACTCACCGCCATTCTCAAGTATGGCAAAGTCCTGATGCACAGTGATGTCTTCATCATCTGGCTCTTCCTGGCCATCTATGCTGTGGCTACCATCATGTTCTGGTGAGCTCTAGTGGCTGGTCAGGGCCAAAATTTGACAGTCTGGGGTTGTAGCTGTTGGGCTGATGAAGCAGAGGGGCCAGGCATCTAGGGACATGCTACATGAGGCACAGCCAGCACTGGCCTTTGGATCTGGGGATGCAGTAGAGCTGATGTTGATGCTGCCTGCCCCTGGAGAGTTTTGGGGCCAAGAATGTCTGAAGGTGGCAGAGTGGGATTAGCCATAGGTGTAACCATACAGGGCCACCCAGGGTTGTTCTCAGTGGGTCCCATGATGATGGACACGGCAACAAGAGATCATGGAGCAACAACTAGACCTTTCCCTGGTACAAGAATCCTAAGGCTCTGACCCCAGCAGCAGAACTAGGGAACGACTAGCAAATACTTTCCTCACCTGCATATGCGCCCAGCAATGGGGTGGACTGTCTGGCAGCTGGAGGTGGAACAGACAGGCTGGAGGCCTGAAGATGTCATTTCCATGGAGTTCCTCCTGACTTACCCCCGTGTAACTGGAGGAGACCCCTGCTCAACATGTGTGGGTAAAGAAACACTGGCCACTTGTTTAGTTGGCCTTAATGAGCAACCCAGGGTATTGATGGGGCGAGCATGAGTCTTGTGTGATGGACAAGGCTGTTGTATTCCTGTGCCGCATGTGGGTGCGCTTGGAAGAACGCAGATGTCTGCAGGATCTGGGGGGGTGTGGGCAGGCTGACACTCTTGCCAGGGCTGAGGATTGCAAGGAAGCAATCTCCATTTGTACTTCTGGTTAGAACATGCAGAGCCCTTCAGATGCCACTGCCAAAGCTGAGGTCGGCAAAGTTTTTTAGCTGAGAGCCAAAAAACCCGGCAAGCTGGACTTGGTGTGCCAGGCTGGAAAGAGGGGGAGCTGCGAGGGGCCCAATTCTTTTGGCAGTGCAGTCCTGGCCCCTTCCCCGCTATGCTCCCTGAGGTGTGCGGTTGCAGTGCCTCTGGCCCCTTTCCAGCCTTGCATCCCAAGGCACATGCGCAACCACTGTTGGCCACAGAGTTGGGCCCGGGGCTTCAGACCCTGGTGCACCATTTGCAGCCTCCCAGCTACCTGCCACATCTGGCCCACACTCTGAGCAGTTGCTGCTTGCCACAGATCCCAGGCTGCTTGCAGCAAGGCTTGCAGCCTCCCCATCACCTCCTGCGAGCAGCTCAAGTTCCGTGGCTGGTGGCAGCTTCCCTGAGCCTGGGCTGGCTGTGGTATGCCAAGCAAAATGGCCTTGTGTGCCATGCTGTAGCGTGTGTGCCAGGGGTTACCAACTCCTGGCCTAGAGGAAGGCAAAGCAAGGACAGGAGGCAACCCTCTCGATGCACCTTCCCTACTCCACCCTTACTCATTGCACTCCTTTTCTAATTCCTACCAGTATTTGCTCTGGGATGGTTTCCATGGAAACTTTAGGGTGAAGGGATAGAGTATCAGGACCTGATAGTGATGAGGTGAGCTGCCATTGTCCAGCTTGTGTCCAGTGCTATTGCCAGGGGCAGGGATCTGTCTTGCACACACATTGGGTTCCCTTGTGAGTCCTTCTAGGCTCAGCCAAGGGGCTGGGAGCTGAATGGCCCATGGAGACTAAACTGCCCAGGTGTCTCCAGGGCATGAGACTCATAGGGATGGAAGGGATGTCCTTGTTCTTAAACTATCCCATACAGACGTCTCTCCATCCACCTCTAGAAAGCCCCCTAGTGAAAGAGATCCCCTAGCTTCTCTCAGCTGTTTCCTGAGGGTTCTGTTCAGGGCTGGGTGAGTGCACCTTGCTCTACCACTCCATGCTGTGCCTGTTGTGTAGCTAACTGGAGAGTTTCAAGGCCGTCAAAGTAAGACTGAAGACTAACTATCCTTTCTTCCACCCAATCCCTTGGAGCCCAGGTAGGGTCTGGGAAGGGGGCATCACCTGGGGAAGTTGGGTGGTGTGGAAGAGGCCCAATGTCCTTTCTCTCTGGGGCAGCTGAGATAACAATGTCTTTCCTGGCAGCTTCCTGGTATCTGTGCTGTACTCCAAGGCCAAGCTAGCATCTGCCTGCGGGGGCATCATCTACTTCTTGAGCTACGTCCCCTACATGTACGTTGCCATCCGGGAGGAAGTGGCTCATGACAAGATCACGGCCTTTGAGAAGTGCATTGCAGTGAGTACCAGGCTGTCATGGTGGCTCATAAGCTCCCCATGGAGCCCAGGCTCCATGAGGTGGGTATAGAGGCAGTGCTCTCCATGCCTGCTCTCTCCCAGTGGGAGATCAGCTGTGCCCTGCACCCCAAGTCGTATAGCTGTCTCTTGCCCAATTAGAGAGCTCTGTCTGTTCCTCCAGTCCCAGTCACTGGAGTAGTCGGGGACCCCTAGAGAGTGGGCTGCACTGTAGCAAGTGGGCAGAGAACTGGGAAGACCCAGGGGCTCATGACTGCAGATTCCCATGTGTTGAGACCTGGGAGCTGTCAGGGAAGGTCTTGGGGGCATCCCCAAAGTTTGGCCTGTATCTGCCCTGTCACAAAGAAGAGCAAAGCGTTGTAGGAAGCCTCTTCCCTTTTGGTTGAGGTGGTATCCTGGGCCTCGTTAACACCAAACCCCACCCCTCTTCCCTGTGTTCCACAGGTGTAGGAAAACTGGCTTTCTTCAGTAGGACGTAGCCCCTTGTGAACCACTCCTTGGCCCCTCACATTTTTCTCATCTTGAGTCTAGCTGTGAACTGCTAAGGCCCTGTGTGTAGACAGCAGCACTGTCTCCATTCTCCCTGCAACACAGCACCAGTCTGTGGTTTCTGTGCAGGATTTAGGTGACCAGTTTTTGGGCTAATGTCCTCCTTCTCTTCTCCCCTCAGTCCCTCATGTCAACCACAGCCTTTGGGCTGGGCTCCAAGTACTTTGCTCTGTATGAAGTGGCTGGTGTGGGCATCCAGTGGCACACCTTCAGCCAGTCTCCTGTGGAAGGTGACGACTTCAACCTGCTGCTGTCCATGATGATGCTGATCATTGACACCGTGGTGTATGGAGTGCTGACGTGGTACATTGAAGCAGTGCACCCAGGTACGGGCAGGGACTCCCCCTGCAGGGAGAGGCTTGTAGCTACCCAGCTATGAGCAAGATGTAGAGATGCCGCTAGAATCGCTGGATCTACCTTTTAGCAGCCTCCTTCAATGGATATGAGCACAGAGGAAGCTGATTCTGGTCATGACGGGTGGGATTGTACTTACTTGTGCAGTTGTGTAGGATCTCTCTGCAAATGTGCCCCACAGGTGACAGTGCCTTTTTGTGGTGCTCTCCTTGCTGTGCAGCTCAAGTTTTCAGGAAGAAGTAATTTGTTGTTTTTTTGGCTGAATTGTAACTTAAGATTCCTGTTTCAGGTTCTTATTTTTCCTTCGTTTTTCTCCACAGGTGAAATTTGGGTAAATCCCAAATATAACCTTGAGATGTTTGGGCTCTTTAAATGCGCATGGATTTTCTGTTGTTGTTGAAACAGTGTGACAGATTTGACAAAAATTCAGTTTTCAGTCACTCCAGATTTGTTTTTGAGGGGTTAGGGAGAGGAATAGGCATCTTCTACCTAGAATCTGTTGCCTAGATCTGCTTATGATGCCTCTTGGCCACCTCACAATGTGCTGTTCTTTCAGTTGTGGTTCTGGAAGAGCAGCACACCTCTAATTTTCCGGGCTTGGTTTGCCTTGCAGGCATGTATGGCCTGCCCCGGCCCTGGTACTTTCCCTTCCAGAAGTCTTACTGGCTTGGGAATGGACGGATCGAAACCTGGGAGTGTACCTGGCCCTGGTCACGAACTACTCGCCTTAGCATCATGGAGGAGGATCAAGCCTGTGCAATGGAGAACAGGAGACTGGGTAAGTATGGACATAGGGGGAGCAGAACCTGGGATGGAGGTTGGTTCCAGTGGTGAAAATGTGGTGAGGGACCCCAGGATCTGTCCCCAACGCTGCCCCTGTGTTGCTGGCCATTGCTGGGCAAGTCACTTCATCTCCCTGTACTCTGGTTTCACCTCCTTGGCTTCTGTTTCCCTGAATGGGTGGCTGTTAGGAGACCCCTTCACTACAGAGGTGGTGTGAGGCCCTAAGGAACCCTCTGACAGAAGGCAGCAGAGAATGGAGTGGATCTGGTGAAGGGCAAGAGAGAACACAAAGCGGGGAAAAGTGACTTTCAGC